ACTTAGGATCTGGTGGGCAGGATCTGGCCCTTGGGGGTGGGGCTCAGTGCCCAGTCTGGGGGCAGGGCTGCTATTCTGGCTGGTGGCAATTCTGGTCTAAGGACACTTGTCAGTCACCTTACAAATCCTCTCCTTTTCTTAGTTGTCTGGGTGGCCCGGGGAATTAGGCCTTGCCTACAGGGCTCCTGGTTCGAGTCCTGACAGATCTCCTTTGCGGACGCTCTTCTTCCTTTTTGTTTGTCTTTTCATCACCAACATCAAAGCTGTAGTAAAGTGCTTGAGGAGCTCTTCATGTCTGTCTCCCTCTGTTGCCATAGGAAGTCCCCCCCCTCTGTGTGTGTGTCCCTTTTTTCAAGCATCTCCCCTTTAAGAAGAGTCAAATGCATGGCTGCAGCTGCTTTAGTCACAGAGGCAAGCACAGCTTGTAACACTTCTTGTTCCATGGAGTGTCAAGGAGTGAAGAAAGGGAGGGAGTGAAAAAAAAACCTTGGAAGTAATTAATGGAACTGGGGGCGGGTGGTGGGCCTCCAGGAGAATAATAGCACACTGGTCCCCCCCACCCCTATTTCCTCCCTCCTTCTTCATTCTGTGAGTGCAATTACCTAGAAGTTCCTTTGCTTTCCTCCCATTCCATCACTTGAAATAGGAAAAACTAACCGAGGGAAAGGTGATGTCAAGTCTCCAACTTTGGCCAGGATTAAACGAGTGCTGTGCCAAATTCTGTCCTCTGGTTTTTCAGAAGCTTGCTCCTTCCAGGAAAGATGCTTCTTCCATTTTCCTGCTTGTTTTCAGGGCACTTCAGAATTCCTTGGAAATTTCAGAGAGAGTTTGGGGCCTTGCAGACCCTCCAAGTGTCCCTATTTTCCAGGGACGTTCCCGATTTAGAGAAACCATCCCAGTTTTTTATTTGTTCCTGGAAGGTCCCATTGTTCCTTAGGATGTCCCTATTTTCACTGGAGAAATGTTGGAGGGTATGGAATTATCTGACCCCCGAGCAGTATGAAGGCAATCCAGAGGGAAGTGGGTTTTTTTTTAAAAAAAAATGCTTAATGTTTTATTATGCTTTTATATATGTTGAGAGTTGCCCAGAGTGGCTGGAGCAACCCAGTATGATGTGTGGGGTATAAATAGTAAAAATATCATTATGGAATGGGACGTCCCTATTTTCATCAGAGAAATGGCCTTGGGAGGTGGCTGCAGGAGGAGCGAATGTGCTTCTTTCCAGAACACTTTTCTGCAGCCTCCCTCCATGTCTGCCTTTTGTGGCCCGAAAAAGCCCCATGGGGAAGGAGTTCACCTCACCATGCCTCCCCCCCCCGGGAAACCAGGGGAGGGGGGCTGTGAAGTGTAGCCCACCAAAGAGATGATTTGTAGAATGAAAGAACAGAGACCCACAAGCAACCCTTAGCCAATAAGGGGCACCCCACCCAGGGAAATTCCACCGAAACGTTCTTATCCCTTTAATAAGGAAATGCAATTTCATTTTTTGTTAATTGGTGGGAAATGGTAAAAAAAAGGGGGGAATTATTTTGGATGCAAAATTAGGCAAAATCGCCATGTATTCCTAAAGGCCTTCCTGGACTATCATGGAACATTCTGCCTACCCCACTTCCCAATGCACAGAGAGTATATTTGTATGAATTTTAGACACTATGCAGAACCAGGGGTGCATAGAATCCAGACTTTCCCAAGCTGGTGCTGCCCTGATGTTTTGGACTACAACTCCCACCAACCTCAGTCTCCTAGGACTAGGGAACTGTTGTACAAAGCATCTGCAGCTTATGGGAGGCTGGCTTAATCAGAGAGTGGCCGGCGAAGTGTCTCTGCAAAGCCCCAAAGTGGGTAAGGAGGTGGGCTCCACCTTTCTCCTCCGAAGAAGATGCAGAAGGACCCCTTTTGCGCTGGGGTCTCCAGGCTCCCCCGCCTCCTCCTCAGCTTGTTCTTGTGAGCTGAGAAGGCACCACACAGGAAAGGATGCCTATTTCTTTTCCCTGGTGCCTGGGAGAGGCCTCCACACTGCTGGTTTTTCCCTTGACTCCCTCCCAGGAGACAGGAGCTGTTTCGCAGTCCCTGGGGCACCCCGTTTCACAGGGAAAAAAAGTAATTTCACTTCTGAGAGAATCCTTTGATGTCCGTAGCCCAGTTTGTAGGCAGCTTCTTCCCCAAGCGGAGTTGCCTCATGACATCTTCCTATGGGCTTCACTTGAAGTTGGGGAAACCAGGACACTTGGCTATGGGGAGCTTTCAATCAGGGTGCTTTCCAATTTTGTTTTTAAGGGATGTGTTCCTTTCTACCTTTTAAATCACCTCCCCACTTTTTTTTCTTTTTTAGTCCTCACTTTTTAAAACTAGCAACAAGCAGCTGCCAGGAGCATAAGAGGCAGCCTCCCAGCCTCTCTGTGATTACAGGGAAGCCCAGCTTGAGGGTATTATGGGATTTTCAGGGAACGAGGGGCACCTGGGAGGGCTGCAGGATGCAGAGGACTGGAGGGATAATTTGTAGATTGAAAGGAAGGGTACTCATAGCCACCCTCCTTGAAAGTAAGGTAAGCACAACCAAACCCTGAATCCCACCCAAGGGACATTCACTAAGCACTTTCTTCTTCCTTTTGCTAGTTTTCAGATGGGCATTTTTGGAATTATTCATTGGTTGGAGAATCATCAGAGGGAAAAGGAAGAAGGCTTCCCCTCCTCCCTCCCCTCCATAGTTGGTTTGGCTGCTGCCAGTTTTGTGTTTTGCTGCTATTTCCGTGCTTTCGTTTGGAAGGGCTTTTTGTTTTGTCGGGTTTTCAGAATGTACTTAACGATGACGCATTAGGTTGCTTTCATTTTTAAACGTTGACATTGAGTATCCTAGGACGGCGAAGTTTAAAATGTCTTTAGTAAACAAGAGTATTTGCCACCTTGCAAAGGGGCAGTGGAAAGGATGAATGGCAAAGTGCAGGCGATGTGCTTTAAACATGTGTCAGATGTAGATGTCAAATGCAGCCGTTCCTCCATCAATGTACTCATTTCCCTCAGGCCCTCTTTGTGTGGGCTTCCCCTCTGGTGGCCTTCCTCTCTTTTTATTGCTTATCCCCACCAAAACCAGGCACCGTGGTACTCATGTAGATCGAAATAATACAAGGAAATCGGATCCTGCCATGCGCTGCAATAAATCTCTTCTTCGTTACTGAGATAATCTTCTGATCATGTGTACTGGATTTGTTTTTCTCCCTTCTTTCGTATGTGTGTGACACATATACATGTAAATAGTGTGCTGTGTAATTTGGTGTTGTTGTTTTTAATTGTTGTTATTCTGAGTTATATATGGGAGCACCGGGGTGTTTTTTTCCTCAGCTAAAACTCACTGGAACTCAGTTCCGGCACCTCTCAGGTGGGCACCATTGCCATTCTAAGAGAACAAGAGAGCCATTCAGGGTGAGTTGCAGCACTTCTTTTGTCTGGAAATATAGCACTGGGGAGCACCATAATCTTGTCCATGTTTAGGGTCTCCACAGGTCTTAATCCAGCCTTGCTGGTTGGCCACTGTGAGAGATCTAGGGCTGGGCTAGAGGGGTCTTCTGCCTGATCCAGCTGCAGAGCTCTGAGAGATACATAGGAAGCTGCCTTATACTGATGAGTCAGGCCATTGATCCACTTAGTTTGGTATCGTCATAGAATAATAGAATTGTAGAGTTAGAAGGGACCCCGAGGGTCATCTAGTCCAACCCCCCGCAACGCAGGAATCTCAGCTAAAGCTTCCATGGTAGACGACCATCCAACACTGAATGGCAGCTTTCCGGGGTTTCCAGCAGATGACCCTTCCTGCCCTGCCTGGAGATGCTGCCTGGAATTGAACTCAGGACCTTCTGCACGCAGGTCTGCTATGTCACTTCCCTCTTTGTTCTTAAAAAGCTGCACTGGGTCACTTGAGAGGAGTTTGCGCTGGCCCAGTGCAGTTCCACCAGCTCTCTGCCCCTTTTGCACTGTAGGCTTCCCCTCTCCGCAATACCAACTACAAATAGTTTTTGGAACTGCTACAATTACAGACAGCCCCAGCCTGTTGGACTCCAGCTCCCACCAGCCCTTGCAAGCAGCACTCCCCATGGCCAGGGATGATGGGAGTTGTAGTCCAACAACATCTGGCGGGCAGCAGGTTGGTTGGGAAAGCTGTGTCACATTTAGAGCCCTTTTGTGCTTGCTTGGCTAAGGCCCCTGCAGCTTGGCTATGGAGGCTACTTCAGTGACCAGCCTGAATATTGCATTCAGGGTGGGATTCCTAACCCTGCAATACTTGTAAACGAACAAGTTTGCATGTTTCCTGACAACACAGGGATTCGCCTCTGTGGAAGGACAGCCACTGGTGACTCAGGCCCCCTTGGCTATAATCTCTTAATTTGTATTTATCTCTGCAATCCGCCACCTGCCTTCTCCGCCTTGTGGATGTCACCCAGGGTTAGGTCACTCCCAAAGGCAACTAGGCTAGTACAATTTTGGGGATTGAAAAAAAAATGCCTTCTGCCAGAGGGTTGATGAATTCTGTGTGACCTTGGAAGTCTGCGTCCTTCTAAATCAGCAGTTTATGTCCCAGCCCAGGCTTCTTCTCTTTGCATCTCTTGTTTGCCTTCCACTGAAGGAGGTGGAGGCAGGCCTCATCCTGTCAGGTGCACCTGCCTGGGGTCTAGATCCTAGGCTCTTAACCATCTCAGGAGGTCCAAGGAGCTGCAGACGGTGGTACCCTTATGAACCACCTTTGTCTACTGTGACTGTAGAGCCCAGCTGCCTGGGGATAAAGATCTCGCTCTACAGTTTTCCTTTTGTCTGTAAGGGCCACATCCTGCCCTGGCAGAAGTCTTTTAGCTGGAGGTGCTGCCTGGGATTCCTAGCCCTCTTCTCATGCAGTAATAGGAAGCTGAAGGAGCTCTGCTAGGAGGACCAGCGGCATTGCCAACTCAGGTTTGCAAAAGGGTTGAGCCGCATAGCTGAAAGCAGCCACCCAGCCAGTCTTGGGACCAATGGCCTGGGAAGACCATAGCTTAGTGGTAGAGCATCTGCTTTGCATGTGGAAGGTGGCAGGTTCAATCCCCAGCACCTGCAGGTAGGACTGGGAAACGTCTCCATCCTAAAACCCTGGGGAGCTGCTGCCAGTCAGTGTGGGCAGCCCTGAGCTAGCTGAACCAGTGTACCCAAGGCAGTTTCCTCTGCTCCATTAGGATTTTGTGCCCAGCCTTTCATGGGGCTGCCCTCAAGGTGGCTTACAATAATTGGCAGAAGTAACAGAATGCAAAGCCCTCAAACTCCCAAAAGTAAAGCCATGGAGGAAAAAAAGCCAAGCCAGTATATAAAAATGGCAGCCAAAGCCCCTCAAAAGGGTCTTAAGAGAACAGGACAGATCTCTTCTAAAAGGGAACAAATGATGGCGCCAAGCCCACACATCTAGGGTGAGGCTGGGTTTCCTCGTTTGGGTGCCACTGCAGAAAAGGCACTGCTACCCTCCCATGACCCCAGAAAGGGGGAGGTATTCAAGAAGACCCCTGGACAGATTGCTATTGGTAAAACTCAAATGGGAAAAGGGGCTGGGGGGAATCCCAAGATGGGGCTGCTATTTTCCATGGCGCAGGCCTGTGTTGTCCTTTCCCTCAGGCAGTCTTTCTCAGCCTTGGGTTCGCAGACATTGTCAGACTACATCTCCCATTATTCCTAGCTAGCATGGCCAGTGGTGGGGGTGATGGGAGTTGTAGTTCAATAACACCTGCAAACCCAAGAATGAGAAAGGCTTCCCCTAAGACATCTCCAAATTTTCCCTGTTGACTCTCTTTTCTTCCAAGCCTTCTGCTCTGCCCTTCATCCTTTGGCGTTATAAAATAGGGTTGCCAACCCTGAAAGAAGTTGTTGAGCTTTTTTTTTAGACAAACTCCCAAGTTGTTCATATATATATATAAATATAACACGATTTTTTGATTGACTTGCCTAAGATCCAGGACAAAGCACAGCCTTTTGGAATTTCGGAAACCCTCCCCCCCGATGTTAATTCTGCCTTTGAAATCCCGTAATATCTGGGAAAATCTGGACGTATGGCAGCCCTATCATAAAAGGTGTCCCTTGCCACTTTCTGCTTTCTCTGTTCTTGGGGAAAACTGCAGCCGTTCTAGCTATCTTTACAGCGGGTGGTTTAACATGGGCATCTCCAGGGAGACAGAGAGAGATCCTATTGGAGCAGTGCACTTCTGCAGCGGGGGAGCAAGTCCTGAGTAAACAGCCTCTGTTTTGCAGCCGCTGGAAAACGAGAGTTGTTTCTCCCCCCCACTATCACCACCCCCAGCTTGGGAGCCCACAATTTGTATTCAGATGAAGGTCATCTGAAAGGTGTAACACAGTAAACAGCCATTATTTCATTTTGATGGTGGTAGTAAAATTATAGTGTTGGTTGAATTATTTTAGTGTGGGACCATTACCATCTCCCTAAAACACTTCTAAGGGGTTTTTTATATCGGCACTGCAGTCCTGAAATTAGTGGAAAATTAAAAATCACAAGGCTGAGGGAGCACCGGTAATTTTTTGAGAGCCTGCCTCGATTTTTATTAGGGTCCCTCTTGCAGCTGCTTCCGCTCTTGTGCTGAGAAGAGAAGCGTCCTCCGTCCCTTGACAAGTTGCCATTGCTGGAGTCACCCAATGACATTCCAGTTCCATCTTCAAGCCCTGCCCTTGTGTGTGGGGAGGGGGCTTCCATTCTGGCCCCCTCCACCTGCTCCATGACTTGCAACAGCTTAACAGATGACTTGAGGGCTTCCACAGATATCTAGGTGGTGGTGATGGTGGTTGAGTTGACCCCCCAAAGCAAGCAGAAGCAGCCCAGTGAAATAACAAGACCCTATCAGCCTTCCTCAACCTGTGGGTCCCCAGATGTTGTTGAACTACAACTCTCATCACCCCTAGCTAGCAAGGCCAGAGCTCAGGGATGATGGGAGTTGTACTCCAACAACATCTGGGGACCCACAGGTTGAGAACCACTGCGGCCTAAATCATGACCTTAGCAGAGCTGTGAAAAACTGAACCCACCATTTCTTGCAAAAGATGCTGGGAAATTCAGCCAGTCTCGCCAAATGAGGAGAAAGGGACAGTAGCTTGAGAAACTACCAGGAGTGGAGCTGTAGTCCTACTCAGAGTAGACCCATTGAGCCTAATGCATCTGACTTGGTCACATTCATTACCTTTATAGCCGAGTGGAGGGGATTTGAACCCAGGTCTCTCCCAGGTCCTACTCTGACACTCTAGCTGTGCCAACCAGGCTGCCAGTCTCTATTCCTGGTACGTTAGGACTTCAAAGGTTGAAACCAGCACTTTGAATCCAGCCTGGAAGATCAGTTCAACTGGTCTGGAATCAGTGCCATGCACTCTGATCATTGCTGCCCGCATCAGAAACTGAGCAGTAGCACAGCCTGCGCCAGTTGGAGTTTCCAGACTGCCTGCAACAACATGGTGCAGTGGTGAGAGTGTTGGACTAGGGACCTGGGAGAAACCAGGGTTCAAATCCCCCACTCAGTCATGAAGCTCCCTGGGTGGCGTTGGGCCAGTCACTGCTTGTCCTACCTCACTGGGTTGTTGATTAATTGAGATCGGGGAGAACCATGAACTCCTTGGAGGAAGGTAAAGGGTAAAGGGACCCCTGACCATTAGGTCCAGTTGTGACCGACTCTAGGGTTGTGGCACTCATCTCGCTTTATTGGCCGAGGGAGCCGGCATTCAGCTTCCGGGTCACGTGGCCAGCATGACTAAGCCGCTTTTGGTGAACCAGAGCAGCGCATGGAAATGCTGTTTACCTTCCTGCCGGAGCGGTACCTATTTATCTACTTGCATTTTGACGTGCTTTCGAACTGCTAGGTGGGCAGGAGCAGGGACTGAGCAACGGGAGCTCACCCCGTTGCGGGGATTTGAACCGCCGACCTTCTGATCGGCAAGTCCTAGGCTCTGTGGTTTAACCCACAGCGCCACCTTGGAGGAAAGGTCAGCCATAAATGCAATAAGGAAGTATCCAGGAACAATGCAGGTCAATATAAAGCCCGTCAACACGGCGGGGGGTCAGGGAAGGCGAATGAATCTGAGCAGTGTACAGTATAGCAAACCGACCAGCAGCTCTTAATCAGGGATGAGTGCTTAAGTCTGCTATACTTCTGTTATGGGGAGAGCTGACTGTTTGGAAAAATCCTACTCCTTGCAACAGTTATGAATCTGCCTTGTGGATAAACGTCCTGACGAGGCAACGCCACTTTTCATCAAGGCAGTTTTAGGGAATAATATAGCCCAGGGCATTATACAGACCGCTTCACACATCCCCTGTTAACATTCATAGCAGCCTTCCTCAACCTGGTGCCCTTGGGGAATTCTGTCCACGGCTGCATTCGCAAGGCAGTTTATTTTGACATTTCCGTCTTAATTTCCACATTATATTTGAGCTTTCAAACGACGTAAACACGGTTCAAGTTGAGCACTCCTTTCTGTTACTTTTTCCCCCGGGGGGAGGGGGCTCCATTTGTACACAACACAGAAATGTGTGCTAAACTTGAGCTGTCTTTCAGGTAGCGGTTTTTACGTCATGTGAAAGCTCAGATTAACAGTTAGGGAAACACCAGGAAAATAGAATAAGCTACTGTGTGAATGTAGGAAACAAGCAACGGGTGGAGGGGTGCAATACACCCAACCTGGGGTTAAAATGGCCCATCTACACCGCACTGGAAATGCACATTCTTGCACATTTTCAGATATGTGGATCTTATAGTACTAGCAAACAGTGCTGGAATTCTGCTAGTATTGATGGGGTATTTTGAGAGGCTGGACTCTTGGGCATAGAGGGCAGTTTGCAGTCCCAAGCATCACGAACAGACATAAGCAAACCCCGGCCCTCCAGATGTTTGGGACTACAATTCCCGTCATCCCTGACCACTGGTCCTGTTAGCTAGGGGTGATGGGAATTGTAGTCCCAAACATCTGGAGAGCCGGAGTTTGCCTATGCCTGATCACGAAGATACAAGCTAGGGGAAGGAAAGGGATTCCATGCCTGAGATCATTAGGAAAAGGAACTGAAAGTTAAACTGATTATTTCGTGATACCGTTATACACTCCAATGGTGCAACTGTGTTTGGGCTACTGTGCACAGCTGTGGTTGCCTCACCTCAAAGGATATTGGAGAGTTCGGAAAGGTTCAGAAAGGGGGTGGAGCGACTTGCCTAGGAGGAAAGGTTGAGGCGTTTGGGAAGTTTCGGTTTAGAGAAAAGGTGAGCAACGGGGGGGGGGGGGACATGATAGAAATTTACAAAATGATGCGTGGCATGGGGAAAGTGGACAGAGGAAAGTTTTTCTCCCCCTCGTAACACTAGAACTTGGGTGGAAGATGGAAACGACGTCTTCATGTGGCACATAGACTATGGAACTCTCTCCCACAAGAGGCAGTGATGGCTACCAACTTGGATGGTTTTAAACGAGGATCAGAGAAATTTGTGGAAGACCAGTCTCTCAGTGGCTGCTAGCCAGGATGGTGATGGTCTGCCTCCACGGTCAGAGGCAGCAAATGCTTCTGAAAACTAATAGTGATTCGAGGACCCGCCACCCGCTTGAGGATAAGAAAGACACATGGACACAGTATATTAGGTTAATGGGCTAAAAAAGGCCACACCTTTATTGATTACAGCCTGTGAGAGGAATTGGCTTAGGCATTGGATAAAACAGGGAGGGGTGAGTCTAACAAGGGTTAACCACCAGTGGGAGGAGCCTGCTGGTGCAAATACAACTGAAAGCTCCCCCTGATGTCACCGGGGGTCGTGCCATGGCCCTAGCCACCAGCAAGGGCATCGGACAGGATCCACGACTGCCAGATTCCTTTACTGGAATACCTATAAAGTGGAGGGGTAGGCGATGGCCACAGCCTGCCCTCCAATACACAAACATATTCCAATGCCTAACCGCCAATACCTAAAAATTGTGACGATTTGCTACAAGGTAGGCGAAAAACCAAGTGGCCGATGCCAATTTGCCAATTGGATAAAAATTCCTACCAGGCCCCTTGGGCAACCAAGGCGACCAACCACAGGTCCATAGCAATGTCAA